TCCATGGAACTTTGCTCTTTGGAAAGCTGGGTATCAGGAAAGAAAAGTGGTTTCCCATGGTTAGCAGGGAAAGGGGGAGCTATTGTGACTTCTGTTTAAACCAGGGTTAAACCAGGAGATGCCAAACTTGCTTGTTTTAGGATATATATGGGAATCAGGGCTGCCACTGGCTCCGAGGTCTGGTTTTCATGTGTGATGCTGGTAACTGCTGTATCCTAGAATCCCAAACTGGTTTGGCTTGAAGAGACCTTAAAGCTCATCTAGCTCCAACCCCTGCCATGGGCAGGGACACCTTCCACTAGAGCAGCTTGCTCCAAGCCCCATCCAACCCGGCCTCACCCCAAACACTGCTCTGGCATCAGGGTTGGTTTTAGATCAGCTTTGAAGGTGCCCACTTCTGGCACTGCGATACGTGTGTGCATGGGCTTCTGCTCCTTGGCTTTTGGAGCACTGGACTCTTACTCCTGTTCCAGCCATTGTCTGGCTGGTTTTGGGATTCCCTTATCATACCTCTTCCCATTTGCATCTCCCTATCTCTCAACTGCAGCCAAACCCCTCTATTTCCCCCCAAAGAGTAGGCTGCAGGCTGTGTTTCACACCGGAGCATCCCTAGGCAAGGAATAACAGTCGCTGTGCTCCAGATACTTGGTGGAGTCAAGAGCTGTGGTATCCTTTGGGGGAATAACAGGGAGAGAACGGGAAGGGGACCAGGAAATAGGGGAACTCCCAAAGCGAGCGGAAGATGGGCTTGGGAAACGTGAAAAGACAGGAAAACGTGTATTAAGACCAATTGAAAGCTGCTCTAACCAAGGATTTCAACTGAAACCAAAGCCTTGGGGAGGGAGGAAATGAATCGATTGTTATTTTATTGCTTGATATTGGGGTTTTGCTACAACGATGATTCGTTAAATGCAAATAAAGGGGTTTGAGGAAGCAGGATGGGGTGTGGGGGGGGAGATGGAGGACACACGAGGCGAAGCGAGTGCGATGTCGGTTTTGCATCGCTCGCTGCGTTCCTGGCAGGTCTTTTGTAACATCTGTTCGGCATAAACCAAACATCATTTCCATCGCTCGCCGCCTGAGATGGCTCCTGCGAAAACAGCTCCAACCTGTCCAGGAATTTGCCTTGGAAGTTGCCCTCCCCTCTCCTCACGCCGCCTCTTCTCCAGGGGAGATTTCCTTCCTGCGCTTCCCAGGGGCTCCATTAGCCCCACATTAAAGCCTTTTTTGACTTTGCTCTCAAACTCTCCATCGGAGGAAAAGGAATTCTAATAAACCGCTGGGAAGACTCTGCTATTCACTCTTTCCATGGAAACACGGCGCTGCCTCGGAGCACAGCTCCTCTCCACGGAGCTTGGGTCATGGCAGGAGGAGACCAAGGAGGGATGGAGAGATGGTTTCCATTATAAGAGACCTTTTGAGAGGGGTAATCACTGCTCTCCCACCGAGGAAAGCCTTGGAGATGGCAGGGGCCTCGGTGCGCTGCGGGAGCAGGGCTGGCCTCTGAGGAGGTAGTGATGGGAAGTGGTGATGTGCTGGGCATGGAGAAACTCATTAAAACAGCTGATTAGTGGCAATTAAGGCACCCAGGACCAATTCCCTCATCTCAATGGAAGGGATGGGTCCAGGAGGGATGAGAGCGATCCATTGGACCTGGTGCTGCAGGCAAAGGCTGCATAGAGGGTTTGGAGCTGAGGACATGGAGACAGGGTCTCAGGAGGACATTGGTGGCTCCTTATCCGGAGCAGAGCATCAGACCAGGCCAATACATTCCCCAAAGCCATGTTTGCTTTGGGAGGGGGTTTCTGGCTGTTCCTGTACCCTGGTCCAAGGAGGTCAGCACTATGCCCCCTTACCTAAAGCGAGTGGGTATCATTAATTCCTCTCCTTGCAGGCACAGTTGTCCTGAGCGTTGCTGCTGCAAGATGAAGGATTTATATCTATATATTTTAAGCGTGAGGAAGCTTGTTAGAAATAGCCCGAAGGGCAGAGTTAGGAAATGAAAATCCATTGGATCTGCTTGGAGCCGGTGCGTGGAGCTTGATGAGAGCTGAGGCAGGGCTGCCTGCTCTCTGCCTGCGAGGAGCCACGAGTGTGGGGTGTGTGACACTGGGTGCATGAGGGGATGAGAGCAGTCCATTGGGAAAATCAGACAGAAAGAGGGATGAAAGGGAGGGGAATGAGGAAGAGCTGGCTCAGAGCATCCCATGTAGGCGCTGGGGAGGTCCCAGGGACCCCAGGCCAGTGGAGCATGGCAAGAGCAGGCAAGAAAGGGATGCTGGCGGAGCAAAGCTCGTTCTTCTCAGCACTGAGGATGATTCCTTATCCTTGTAGGTCACAGTGGTGAGACACCGAGGAGCAACTTTGCTTTAGCAGCTCCAGAAGTGACAGTGCAATGAGTCATTATTTTGTATGTAGCCAGGGCAGGGGGTTACTTCCAATGAAGCTTCTGACTTTGACTGGCAAGTTGAGCCCTGTTCTTGCAATAGGGAGGTTGGGAAGAGGCTTTTTGGTGCTGGTTGTGATGGGTTTGTCTTAGCTTAGGGTGAGATCTGCTCCATGCAGGTAGGCAGTGAATACAAGGAGCATGGGGATGTATCAGCACCTATGGTAGGCGCTGTGCGCCACACATGGGGGTGCTCCAGAGCCAGATTTCATCAAGAGGCTGGAAACTCTCCCGTTCACACAACTGCTCATCAGCATCTTCTACAAGCTCAGATGCTGTAATGAGTAAAGTTAATTGCTGTCATAGGTGATGGTCTCCCACCCAGCCAGTGGTTGGGTTGAGACAGGCACGGCTGTGTTATGTAAATGGAGGTGATGTGGGTGCTGGCACCTCGGAGGTACTGAGGAGTCATGAAACCAGCTTTTGTGAACCCATAAATTGCAGTCACAGACTATAAATGGCTGGAAAAATCACAGCGTTTAATAAACAAAGTGTTTGGCACTGATTTGATTTGCATATGGGGCTCTCCAGGGTTTGTGGTTTCAGCATTGCTCCCCACCACGGTGAGGTCAGGGTTCAAGGAGAGGAGAGCTGAGGTTCTCCTGAAATCACAGCCCTCCCAGAGGCAGGGATTTCAAACATTCCAGTCTGGATGGACCAGATTGATGGATTGATGGGATTGCAGTGTAAAACTAACAAATGCTTTAGTCTTTTCTCAGTCCCATAGGAGATGATGCCCGTTGGGTGTGTGTCCCACCGTGGCTTTACTAGGGCGGCAATCACAGCCCATGGTGCCAAATGGTGAAAGAGCTCTTCCCTATGAAGGGCAGGGGGGATCAGTGGTTATGGGGGATAAATACAGGGTCCCCGGAGAGCCATGAGGTCCCGGCTCAGTTTACCATCCTACAGAGAGACACGTGTGAAGTCGGAGCGTGTTGTGGTGTATTAGCTATAAACAGCCAGGCTGGGATGGCACTGGGGAGAAAAAGGGATGGGGGAAAGCAAGAGCTGAGCGGTTTCCTTTGGCAGATGCTGGTTCCCCTTATGAGGTTGGGTCTGTTTTGCAAGCTCGATGCCTCCTATCTCAAGTAATTAACAGGGAAAAGAGAGGGCCTGGTTATCCATCCTTCAAGAGCAAGGGGTTGAATTGAAAGGCAGCGCCTTGGAAGTGGATCAAATAGCTCTCCAGCCCCCCGCGTACGGCTCGGGAACTTGCCGCCGTGCTGCGTTATCAAGGTGAACAGCTTTAGTTCAATTAAAGAGCGGCTCAGAGCGGCGGCGTGGGAGGAGGCAGGGATGGGCGTTTGCACCCTCCGGGCAGGAGCTGGTGTGCAGTGGAACCGCACGGCAGCGACCCCGGTGCGAGCCAGGGCTACCAAAGCGATGCTTCCCCCTTTGCGAAGGGACCAGCTCCTTTATCCTCGCCTCTGCGGCGGGTTTTATCCGTGGAAAAGCAGTGTGTGGGGAAGGATCGCTCTTTGTTACCGTCTCCTTTTCCCCCCTTCATTGCTTCTGAAACAACCCCCCCATTCCCAGCGATGAGCTCCCATCACCGTGCACCTAAATCCCTGCAGATGCACGGTGCTGGGAAGCCTGTATTTTCCCTGCCGGTTCCTGCCTGGGCTGCAGCTGGCTATGGCACACAGAGAGAGAAAGCTGCAGGTGTGATTTGTTCATTTGCCTCCACCCCCCAGCGCTGCCTCCCTCCTGCTTTCCCATCCTCTCTGAGCCCACCTTGCTCATCCCACCCCAGCGCATCACTGTGCGGCGAGACCCGCATCCCACCGGGGATGCAGTGCCGGCGAAGGGCTGGGATGGCTGGGGTTGGCTTGTGTGTGTATATAGAGGGGAAAGGGGGGGTTAATCTGATCCCTTGGAAAGGGGGGGGGGGAGGGAATCACAACTATAAAGAAGGCATCAGCCTCCTCCTTTTCCCTCTCCCCCGCTCCAGAGGATTAAGCCTAAGGGAAAAAAAAAACGGGGGGGGGGGAAATGTCTGCAGCTTTCTGTTGACCCTGCATGATGGCATTTTTGCGCTCTGTGTGCTGCCTCTGCTGATTGCTATTCCTGGCACAAACACACACACACAGCTCACACACACACACACACACACACACACACGCTCTAGCACGGCTCACACAGCGAGCCCACTCCAAATAACAACCTCCCCCCCCCCCCCCCAAACCATCCCCTCCAACCCCAAAAGCGTTGCCCCTTCATCCCCTATGGTGTGTGCGGGGAGAGCATCCAGCGCCCGGTGCCGCTCGCCCTCTCCTCCACCCCACTTCTCACCTCGTCCCCAGCTCCAAGCGAGCACTTTCTGCCGGAGCCGCCCGCAGCCAGAGCCCTCCACCACTCCTACCGCTGGCATTACATTTTCAGGCTGGATGCTATAGGGCCGTTTCTAATTACCTTATATCCCCTAGTGGTCTATGAATAATGGTTAGTGAAGGAGCTCAGAAGGGCTGCTGAGAAGGGAAAGGCAAAAAAAAAAAAAAAAAAGCAAGAAAAAAAAGAGGAGAATTGTGCTATTTCTCACGTTTTTTTTCCTAAGGATCTAATCTGGCTACTGTGCTCGGGAAGAGGAGGAGAGCGAGCCAGCAGGAGCGATTGGAGAGCGCGAGGACCATCGCAGGTATTGTTGCAAGCTACATCTTTGTGCCCTTTTTTATCCCCCCTTCCCCCCCCCCCCCCCGCTTTTCCTTATGGAAGAATTGATGGGGGTGGGGGGGATGTGGATGGAGCTTTATCCCAGATTTATTTTCCTCTCGTGCAACTCGTGTGCTGCTGTGATTGAAGGGATGCACGGCGCCGGGAGCGCAGAGTTTGGGAAGGGGGGGGGGTGTTGTACGTATGTGTGTGTGTGTGTGTGTGTGTGTGTGTGTGTGTCCTATGGAGGAAGGAGGAGGAGGAGGAAGGAGGGGGGGGGGAATTGTTTTGCTTTTCTGGAAGTAATAAAGGAATCTGCAACCGGTCCAACAAAATCCTCCTGACTTGCCGATGGATGGGTGTCGGAACAAAGATACAGCTGAGACTTGGAGTGTATGTGGAAGGGATGCATTCATCCCGCCTTGTCCTGACTCCTACTTTCCCCAAAAGTTGAAACCATAACAGGCGCGGGGGCTGCTTAAAGCCCTCGGGGAGTGGGAATCTTCCATGGGAAGCGGGTTGAATGGAGGAGTTATGGATGTGCATGGGGGTTTCTACTTACAAAAGTTGCGGCGGTTGGGCGCCTGGCTTCTCGCTGCCGTTGTCTGCACGTGAGGACGCTGCCTTGATGGATTCCCTTTCTTTTATTCGGTGGCTGGATGGTGGGGAAGGGAAAACAGAGCTGGATCTGCCAGATAACCCCTGGAATCGCGGGGCTTGCACATCTGGCTGCGCCTTTCCAAAGCCCCTCGCTGGGACTTTCGCCTCCCGCTTCCTTGTTCTCCCACGGCACATTTTTGCCTCCCCCCCGCTTCCCAAATCCACATTAATAAACAAACAAACCAGGGAATAACGGGGGAGCTCAGAGCCCTGCTGCTGGAAAAGGAGGGGAAAAAAAGGGGGGGGGGAGGTGTCTGTGTGTGCTTTTGTTTTAAATAGGGAAAGGGCGATGATTGAAAACATATGAATAGGATGCAGTGCGGAGCGGGCGTGTTACGGAGCGGGGGGGAGACGGAAAACTGCTTATACGACAGAAGCAGAGCTTGAATGAGTGTGGGGAGATGAAAGGAGAGGGGTCCGTCCCTCAACCCCGGCTGTGGAGGGGGGGGTGGCATTCCCGAAGGCAAAGGAATGCTCTCAGGGAGGGGAAACTCACTGGGGAGGAATAAAACCCAAACCTGGAGTGAAGCGTGCGGTTATATCCCATCCAACTTTGCCGGCTGCGGCGTTAACGGAGCTAATTGTAATCGTAAAATCCAAGGGGAAAACGCCTGTGTGGGAAGGGGGTGGGGGATGTCCCAAAATCCCATTCCCCCCCCCCCCAAAAAAAAAAAACCCCGATGTTGTGTTTATTTGGGTGGAAATAAGGATGGAGCAACGGCCCTGGGGAGGGCTGTGTTCCCCCCGGGAATGGCTCCAAAACCACGCCGGTGCTGCCCTTCCCTGCCTGCCCTTCGCTGCCTGCCCTGCCTGGCCTTGCTTTTGTGTTTGTTTGCTTCCAAGGATGGAGGTGGGGGGGGCAAGAGAAAGGAGCCAGGGGGGGTGTGAGAAGGCGGGGAGAAGCCGTGAGGGCGGAGAGCCGATTTAAATTGGACTTAATGGATTCCCAGGGCAGCTCTTTTAGATGAAAGTCAAAATAAGAGCCAAAGTGAATCTCAGCAGACCTGTCTGTTGCATTAGAGATGCAGCCTTCCTCTCCCTCCCTCCCTTCCTCCCTCCCTTCCCTTTTATTCTTTAAAGGAGAAGGGGGAAAGAAGTGTTATCCATACGGAAGACAGTGTGGAGTTTCTCGTTCCTATAATGTGAGCTCTAATTGAAGAACTTGCAGCCTCTTGGGAGAGCCTTTACTGATCGCTGCTTTTGTTATTCACGCCGTGCTCTGTTTTATTGAGGGTTTTAAGGGGGGCTGACTCAAGTCTGGTTGCGCCAGGGGTGTGATACTGTGTGTTGTCCCCCCCCAAGCTGGCTCCATAGGCTGCTGATAGGGGAGTCCTCCCAGGGGGGCTGTGTGGTGTTGAGGAGGAGATGTGCAGCTCAAAGAACCCCAGGAGCTGATGGGGAGATGCTGCAGTGGGGCCTCTTGTCCTCGCAGGACCCCCTGGGCAGTGGGATGGATGCTGCCCACTGGGGATTTGGGGGGCCCTTTGAGCCCCATGTGGTGTCAGGGTACCCTAAACCTTCATGGTGCAGAGGGCACAGTGTAGCCCCACTGTCACTGCTCTCCTGGTTCATAGGGGTCCTGGGTGGCTGTCTGCATCCAGAGCATCACCCGGAGGGGACAGGCATAGTGCCAAAGCCACGTGGATCCTCTGCCTGCTCAGGGGACACGGGCACCGAATGGCAGGACCTGTGCCAGGTCCTCCTGCCTTTTCCATTGCCCAGCAATTCGGGGTGGGGATGGGAAGTGGACTGGTAGATGGAGCTCCCCTTATGGGGGTCTCATTGCTCCCATTCGCCTTCCCAAGCCCTCTCGGGTGGCCACAGCATCTCTGTGACCATGGGGCTGTCCCCAAGCCCTGTGTCCCCATGTGGTCCGACGGTGATGCTGTGCTGGTTTGGTGCAGATCCCTGTTGCCCCCATGTCCCTCTCCAAACCCTTTTGCAGCTATACTTAAGCTCTACGTGGATGAAAACAAGAGCCACGAGCCCTGAGGATGCTCTTGGTGGTATTTGGTGGCTGTGGGACTGAGTCTGGCTTTGGATGACGATGTGTGAGCAGGATGAGGCTCCGCCAGCCCATCAGCTTAGCGTGGAGGCAAAGCAGTTAACCTGGACGTCTGATCTCCCCAAGAGCTGTGTATTGACCCTGACAGCGATGCATCAGGAGCGACAGACTCTCCATCATCGATCCCTCTCCTCCCATCGCCAGGTGTCGACACTGACGGTCGTGGAGCCGGCTTTCATTTCAGGCCTCTGGCTCCAGCGTGTAACACTTAGCCGCGGTCCCAAGGTGCCAGCCAGGCTTTGCAAACAAACACCTCCACAGCCATCTTGATGTCCCCATTTTGTGGCAGGGATGGAGATGGGGCTCACAAAGGACCCAGGATCCCTGGCTCCCATCATCCATCCCTGGCAGCCTTTAGTGGAGGATGCACCTGGAGCTCCTTTGCTAGGAAAACCCTGCGGTCTGGTCCCCTTGTGCCATCAGTGCCAAGCACCAGAGGATGCTCCTGAGCTGGGGAGTCCTCATCCTTGTGCAGCCTGTGCTGTGTGACCTTATCTGGCCAGGATACCTGCCTGTGCAGCGGCCGTTGCCTGATCTGATGGGCACATGGAGATGTGATGGGGATGGTGGTGTTTTATGTTGGTGCCTTCATCTTGGGCAGTCCGAAGGCGCTGGCACGCCGCCTCTCCTCCTTCCCAGCATCTTGAGGTTTCCGAGACACACGCAGCCAAGCTGAGGCTGAAAAAGCTGCTTGTGGTTCAAGAGCATCTCCTCGACGGAGGAGAGAGGGAAGCTTTTCATTCCTCCCTTTCTTTTGGAGCTCGCCAAGCTCCACTCACCGGCACAGGGGCTCTTCCTTCTTCCCCTCCCTGCAAGGGAACGTTAAAAGCCAGGGGCAGTGGGTATCTTGACACCCCGTCAATCTGAGCCTTTTACAGCAGCAGTCTCTGAAGGCTGGCACTCTGCTGCACAGAAGAAAACAAGTGAGAAGAGAGGGGGAGGCGGGAGCAAGCCTTTGCAGCCGGCAATCGATAATTGTGGTGTCAGTCACTGCCTAGGAAGTTCCTGCATCCCCACTGGCGCTGATGGAGAGGGGAGAAGGGAAGGGCTCTGCCCCACACAGCATCGGCCATGGGGCAAGGGAGTGATGGAGGGCGAGAGCCCGGCCCCGAGCAGGAGCCTCTGACTGCATTACTCACCACTTGATGTAGCGTGAACCTTTCAACTCCCTCCCCTTGGGGATGGAGCGGGCTGGGCAGAAGGTGTCGATGGAAAACGCTTTGCTCTCTCCCATTGGAGGGGTTTGGTTTTCCCTTTTCCTTCTATTTTTGCCTTCCCCCACACTCTGTGGGCATTTTGAGGTCGAGTATTCCCCCAAACCCATGAAAGAAACCCCCGAAACACCCCCAGCGCAGCTCCCCCTCGTGTGCGTCTCCTAAGATGAGGCAAAAGATCAAGGAATTCTGCCTTTTGTGCAGCTTTCAAGAGCAAAGATGCGCCGGTGAAAAGGGGAGGCTCAGAGTACCAGGCGCACACAAGTGTTAAAGGAGAGGCTTCCCTTTTGTCTCCAAGGCAATCAGCCGGCGAAGGGATCCACAAATTAATTAACAATTGCTCTGTCTTGATTGAGTTATTCCTGCTCGCATCCCACCTGCCTATCAAAAGACTGGGAATGGCAGGAGGAAATTCCTGTTTCTTTCCCAAACAGCTCAGGCACGTAGTGCAGAGCGTCTCGCTCGCCTTTCATCCCAGGCAGCAAAGGAAATAAAGCAAGGAAGGGCTGGCGCTGTATCCAGAGGGATCTCTCCCGAAGGATGCGTCCCCCTCTCCCATGCTAACAAATGCTGCGGTATTTGGGCCATTGGGAAGAGAAATGGCCAGATTTACGTGGCACACATGGGCCAAATTGTGGTTGTAACTCCGTGAAGTTGATGGAGATCCATTGGAGATTGATTTGGCTCAAGGGCTGGCTCTTGCTCCATGGGGAATAGGCTGGATCTCTGCCTTGGTTGAAACGAGAGGTATTCAAATGGGTTTGTTGTGGCTATGCCCAAGTGGTAGAGCCGAGCAAAATTCCCAACTGGTTGTATCCCTGGTGCCAAAGCACCATAAATACACCCCGACCTGTCAAGTTGTGCATGTTCTCTACCGCATTTACCACCGAGGCTGTTTTAAGGGGGTAGATTTATATGCAGGGGCTGTACAGAAGCCTCCCTGTGTGCTTTGCTAAGAGGTTTGAACTCCATCCCAGCATCCTGGTGCAGGGAAGCCTGTCTCTCCTCCTCCTTATGGGATTTCAACCCACACTGAGCCTGTGCCAG